CACAAAGCGCAGAGCGAAAAAGCAGCGTTGCCGCATCGCACGGAGTGACGCAGTAGGATCATTTTTACACTTCTGCGCACACGGTGATACTCAACTAGTATTTTCTGTGTGTAGGGGCGATTGCGTGGACGCGAGTAAACTTTAGGTTGAGCACAACTGCAGTCGGAGAACGTCCTTAACAGTCATCCATCTCACGTTAAAAAGTTATTAAAGATCTGATAACGCTGACCGTCAAATATATTGTCAAGTTAATAACCCTGAGTGACCATCGGACACTTTCAGCAGGCGAGTGTGAGAGATAAAGGGGGTGAGAGAGGACGAAATAGATGAGAGAGCGAAAAAGAGAGGAGTAGTGGGAGCGGGTAGCGGGGGAGGAAGAAGATACTCCAATTAAATGACCATCGGACACTTTCAACAAGCGACCGTTGCTCATTGAGAAGCTATTAAAATTAAAATGGGTAATTCACCTCCGATGATCCTGACCCTCCCATATATTAACGTTGTTAAGATCACGACCCTGAGTGACTATCGAACACTTTCAGCAGGCGAGGGTGAGAGATGACCAAAGGGGGTGAGAGAGGACGAAATAGAGTGAGATAGATAAACGACCAGCGTACACTTCCAACAAGCGACTGTTGTCCATTGAGAAGCTATTAAAATTAAAATGGACAATTCGCCTCCGATGACTTTGACTCTCCCACATATTAACATTGTCAAGATTACGACCCTGAGTAACCATCGGACACTTTCAGCAGGCGAGGGTGAGAGATGACCAAAGGGGATGAGAGAGGACGAAAGAAAGTGAGATAGGGCGAAAAATGGGGGGGTGGTGGGGGTAAGTGGTGAGGAAGGAGAAGAGATGAGGCGCGGGGGAGGTCAAAGTTGGTGGAGGTGTGAGTGAAGGGTGAGAGAGAATAAAGGTGCATGTGTCTGCGGACAGAGAAGAATAAGAATAATAAGGAGACGTTACTTCATTTTTCATGAAAATCATCACTTTTTGATCGCTCCTATGTCCAGAACGGTTTGACCGATTTTATTTTTTTTTGGCTCGTGATGAAATTACTCGTGGCGATGACGCCTTCAGGATATGTTACGTCCGATTAAAAATTTTTATATTTTGGTAATTCTGTACCCCCAAAAAATGGACTTCAGTGACTCAGGATAAGAGACTTTAGAGTCTTTATGTCCTTTCACTTTTTTTTTAACATGGCCGGAGATACTATCGCATCTCCTGATTGTAGTGTCTTTATGTCCTTTCACTTTTTTTCTGAACATGGCCGGAGACACTACCGCGTCTCCTGATCATTGTGTGACTTTTTAAATTACGTGATTTAAAAAAATCACATACTGATTTGAAACAATCCGTTACGTAATTTATCTGTTTTAATTACATGATTTCATTATGTAATTTTGTAACGTGATTTTTTTCAGTAAGACAGCCTTGGACTTTAAGTTTCCATCCTCGCAACTATCGCACTTTTGATGAAACGTGAATTTTTTAAACATCTTAGTTTCAGTGATTGAATTTGATTACTTCTACTTATTTTTCAGGGTATAGCTGTGCTCTTCGTGTTATGTGAGAAACGCACGATGGGTGTGTATTCCGCAATTTGGAGGAAAGTAAAGGAGCTGAATCCAAATGCATTACAAAAAATACAATCGGTCATGAGCGATTATGAACGCGCAGCAATGACGAGAAGTTTTTCCGAACTCAAGGTTGCAAGAGAAGTTTTTCCGAATTCAAGGTTAACTGGCTGCTGGTTCCATTTTAATCATATAGAATTTGTGCAACGTACAAAATTTCTATGACAGCAAGACACATACATACACATACATTTAATCTTAGAAACTTTCTCCAATTCACTTATTTGTTAGTTAATATTTTATATTACTTTTTGTATAGGCTGTATTAAGACGCTGGAAAGCTTTAGGCTTAACAGCAGCTCCAAATAAAATTTTAAGACTTACCATGGCTTTACCGTTGGCTCCTACTGATATGTTCGAGCAAGGATTACAAATCATTCAAGATGAAGCTGACGCGGTGTCAGCAGAGTATCCCATTGTTTTGCAATTTGCTGTTTACTTGAGGCGCATCTGGCTCTCTTTAAAAGATAAAGTCTCTGTTTTTGGTACATTCATACGGACGAATAATTTGGTCGAGAGTTTTCATTTTGTCATTTTTCGAAAACTTAATGGAATTCATACGAATATTTGGATTTTTCTTCGTATGTGTATTGCTTATTATTATTATTATCACTTTCGTTCACTGACACCATATTATATTTTTATATGACTTTCAGATAATCTAAGTGAGTTGATCACCGATCAAGAAATAAATATGGCAAGACTATTGCAAGGGCATAGCGTAAGAAGAGTACGAGTTCATTATAACATAGTTCGTGAAACACGTATTGCGGAGGCACAGTTTCTATTAAACTCGGGAAGGTAATTCATATCTTGTGTTATTTAAGCAATCTTGCAACAAGGAAATAAGCCTATTGCTTTTGTGTGTGTTAAATGACTGTACAATCTCTTATTTTGTAAACTCATATGTTTTATATTATTGTAGATATTCGTTGAAAGAATTTCTGTTAACGTTGAGCAATGCAACACAGTTACCCGAAGAGAATATTGGTTCGTTTCGAAATATATACTACATTATATTTTTAATATTATATATTTATCATAATTTAATATCCCAATATACATTTTATGAATGAAAGAAACAGAAACAATATATCATTTATGTTGCAGATTTGCAGGACAATTTGGAAATAGCAGAAGAAATGGCGGACGGATATTTGTTTGACGCTTATACAGGTATCGGGTATTTTTATATTTAAATTTTGTCATTATTATTTTTCATTATGCGCCCTAGTGAACTCGGATTGTTAATTCTACATATGTCTACATTCTACATGTATCTTGATACTTACGTTGTACCATTTTTTACAAATCATTGTACAGTGTGTCCCGAAATTCGAGGATATTATTATAGTGTGAAATTTCATGTAAAATTAAATGTAAAGTGTAATCTTCTTTTTCCATAAAGTAGTTTTTTTTTAAGTGTAAACGTTTAAAATTTGACTAATTATAAGCGTTGGTTAAAAAGTCATCTGTCCATATGAAGTGTATGCAATGGTATCAGATACTAAACGAAACATTGCCACTTGTACGTACACTATCACACAGACAGACAACTTTTTAACCAACGTTTATGATTAGTCAAATTTTAAACGTTTATATTTAAAAAACTACTTTACTGAAAAATATATCTTACGCTCTTATTGCTTAATTTTTCGCAAAGTTTCACGCTGCAATGGTATTACTCTCAAATTTCATGTATAACGATTCGTAAAAAATGATACAACGTAACTATCAAAAGAGGCAAATTAATTATCAAGATTAAAAGTATTAAACAAAAATTAGACATAACAGAATTAGAAGGATATTTTATTTTATATATTTACATAATATTTTTCTACATTCTATTGTGTATATTTGTCCCATTTTTCGTTTAACACTTTTTATTTACCATATAGTCTTTTATTTTTTAAAATTGTTCTATTTATCACTCACAGTGGAGCAGACTGCGCCTGTATTACATTCTGAAATCCATTAGGCTGGTACAATACATCTCATACGTACAATCGCTAGAGATGAATCATTAGGTAGGTTTTCATGACGTAATCTGGAAATCTTTGTGAGTGATATAGTTATTTCTGATTCATCCTAATTTCTATCTTTTTTAAATCTTTCACTAGAGAATATATTTTGTACACACGGGAACATAAATGCCTAGCCGTCCAAAGTTGCACGCCTCTTCATGCCTTCTCATTTCGTCTCATGCCTCCTACTCATTTCTCTAATTCTTACATCTACTCCGATACACGTGCAACTTCGGATGGCTAGGCATTTGTGTTCCGGCGAGTATCTAAAATTTTATATAATGTGGTACATAATCTGTTTTCATATCATTGCACACTTTTCATTTTTAATTAACCTCTTAAATTCAATTGATAGCTTTAGAAACGACAGTTACTGACGATTCAGTATTGCTAGCAAACGATGTTGGAAGAACACGTGGAATATTCTCACGTGGCCGCGATAGACCACGTAGACGCGATCGTAATCTGCAGAGAGGTAAAGAGATGATTTTTTTCTAATATTTGTTTTAAAGTAATTTCTATTATCAATGACTGAATATTGCTTTAAGTCGGGAGCACAGACTTTTGCATAACGAATAATACATAAAGTATAAGAAAATCAACCAATCAAAGTCTTTTATATCATGGAATGGAAGGAAATGAGGGACTTTGATTGATTCATTTTCTTATGCATTATGTGCTGTACGAAATGCAAAAGTCTGTGTTCCCAGCTATATTTACCCAGCAACTGTTAATATTTTTAACTTTTAAAGTCTAGCAGTGCAAAGATACTTACACTTAAATTTATCTTGTAAAAGTGAAACTTTCTTCGTCACAGTACTGTAAAAAATAAAAACTTTTTTGCGTAAAAAAAGAGTAACTGCTTTTCTGACTCGCGTTTGCCTTCAAATGCTTGTTTAAATAATATCTACATCTTACTGATAAAAATAAATGTTCATAAATGTAATTTTTTATTATAGACGCTCAACAACGTCAGCGATTTCAGTTGTTGACAATACCGTCACTAATACCATAGAAAGTATATACTTTAAAAAAAAAAAGTATTTTTAGAAAAAAGAAAGTGCTTTCTGTAATTTAATCTCGATTTTGCATTGTCCGTCACTCAATTTCTTATCATTATTAGCAAAAGTTAAACTTATTTGGTTTTCCTTTAAAGCTTACAATTATTTTGCAAACAATTCTTCTATTCAACTGCTTTTCAACAAACATCATCAGTGTGGTTCACTGACGTACGACTGGTTAAAAGACGACATCGATTGGACTAGCTTTAAAAAAAAATCAGTAATTATCTCTTTATTAACTATTACATAGCAAAAATGATATTCAAGACTTTTCTGCTCAATTTAATTGAATCTACCTGCTTACGAGAAATCTGATTAATTATCGGACTATCTCTCGTGAGCAGATATAGTATATTACCATATACACACGCACGCACGCACACACACACAGAGAGATGGGGGGGGGGCAGGAGGGAGG